GGGATCGTTTATTTGGATGAAGCAAGTGCTCTGAGCTGAAGAGGATTTGGTTTGAACTCACAACTGTATGGTGAAGACTTCTGGTACAATATGGAAGTAAGCAGTTATGTGTCTATGTGCCTGAATGAAGAGGTCAGAGGTTATCTCCCTATCCACAGCAGGACCAGTTAGGAGACAGTTGTCATTTTAGGCTCCTGTTCAACATCGTTTATTTGGATGAAGCAAGTGCTCTGAGCTGAAGAGGATTTGGTTTGAACTCACAACTGTATGGTGAAGACTTCTGGTACAATATGGAAGTAAGCAGTTATGTGTCTATGTGCCTGAATGAAGAGGTCAGAGGTTATCTCCCTATCCACAGCAGGACCAGTTAGGAGACAGTTGTCATTTTAGGCTCCTGTTCAACCACAGAATGTTAATGAATGAGACACAGAGTCTCTTTCAGGAAGATTTGATTCTTATTTCTTTATTGTTTTCCTTACTCCGACTAGGGAACGGTTATCCAGCCAGTTACGCACCCACCTTATAGTAACCCCATCTAAGTTGTATTTGCCTAGTTTATCGATATGAAGATCATAAGAGACTGTATCAAATTCCTTAGTAAAGTCTAGGTATACCACATCCACCGCTTCTTCCTTATCCACACCTCAGCAGGTATTCTGAGATGCATTTTGCTTCTTAAAAAGGAAGGTCTTAATGTATAGGAAAAATAGAAAGTATGGCAAAAAAACACCTTGGCTTAAACAGGAGATCTTGCATGATCTAAAAATCAAAAGAGAGTCATATAAAAGTGGAAACTAGGACAAATTACAAAGGGCGGATATAAGCAAACAATACTGGTATGCAGGGGCAAGATTAGAAAGGGAAAGGCACAAAACGAGCTCAAACTAGCTACAGACATATGAGGAAACAAGACCTTCTATAAATATATTAGAAGCAAGAGGAAAACCAAGGACAGGGTAAGCTCATTGCTCAGTGAGGAGGGAGAAACAATAACAGGAAACTTGGAAAAGCAGAGGTGCTTAATGACGTCTTTGTTTTCGTCTTTAACAAGAAGTCTGATGATGATGGAGTGCCTAACATAGTGAATACTAGTGGGAATGGGGTAGGTTTAGAAGATAAAATAAAAAGAACAAGTTAAAAACTACTTAGAAAAGTTAGATGTCTGCAAGTCACCAAGGCCTGATGAAATGCATCCTAGAATACTTAAGGAACAGATAGAGAAGGTATCTGAGCCTTTACCTGTCAAACTGAAAAATCATGGATGACAGGAGAGATTCCAGAAGACTGGAAAAGGGCAAATATAGTTCCCATCTATAAAAAGGGAAATAAGAACAACCCAGGAAACTACAGACCAGTCATGTTTAACTTCTGTGCCAGCGAAGATAATGGAGCAAGTAATTAAGGAATTCATCTGCCAATATCTGAAAGATAATAAAGAGAACACGTAACAGCCAGCATAGATTTGTAAAGAACAAATCATGTCAAACCAATCTGATAGCTTTCTTTGATAGGATAATAAGTCTTGTGGATAAGGGAGAAGTGATGGATGTGGTATACCTAGACTTTAGTAAGAAAATTGATACAGTCTCGCATGATCTTCTTATCAATAAACTAGGCAAATACAACTTAGATGGGGCTACTATAAGGTGGGTACATAACCGGCTGGATAACTGTCCTCAGAGAGTAGTTAACAGTTCACAATCCTGCTGGCAGGGCATAACAAGTGGGGTTCTGTAGTGGTCTGTTTTGGGACAGGTTCTGTTCAATATCTTCATCAACGATTTAGATATTGGCATAGAAAGTACGCTTATTAAGTTTGCAGATGATACCAAGCTGGGAGGGGTCATAATTCAAAATGATCTGGACAAACTGGAGAAATGGTCTGAGGTAAATGGGATGAAGTTTAATAAGGACAAATGCAAAGTACTCCACTTAGGAAGGAGCAATCAGTTTCACACATACAGAATGGGAAGTGATTGTCTAGGAAGAAGTAGTATAGAAAGGGATCTAGGGGTCAGAGTGGACCACAAGCCATGAGGGCAGGTGACTAGACTCGATGAGCTCTCAAGGTCCCTTCCAGTTCCAGTTCCAGTTCTAGTGTTCTATGTCTTGAGTACTGCAGACAATGCCTGCAACCACCCTACCAGGCAGCAACCTGGAATCTCCAGGAGCCCCTGTCCAACAGGAATCATTGCTTCCCCAATACTAAGTGGCTCCGGGTGCTAAAAACAGGATTTTGCACACAATATTATATAAATGTTATTTTTTTAGTCCAGTGTTTTTTTACAAGCCTAAAATCTCTCTCTCTCTCAAACTCCATGCTGTGTTTATCTTGTTGTCGTTTAAAAAAAAAATCTACATTTTGAACAATACTGAAAATATTAATCATGAAATATCTTTATCACTCTGGACATAAACTTTGAGCCCAATTCTGTCACTACTTAGAGGGTCTGATCATGGTGGGCAGTACAACAAGACATGACTTCAACAGGGCTTCTCACAGAAGTAGGCACTACAAGGAACAGTATTTACAGGAGCATAGCTTCTGTATTAACTTTCAGTGATGCGAAACACATAAGTATCATCTAGCAAACCCTCAGACTTATTTAGTGATTTCTGAATGATCATAGCATTTAGGAGTCAGTCTCATTTTGTCTAAAATTTTCAATAGACTGAAAAATTTGTGGGTGGTTCTTTAATGCCCCTAGTCTCCTGAACATCCTAGCAAGTAATGAAAAAGTTTTCTTCTATGAACAGGTACTTTAGGGGATCTATTTTACAGGGTAAAGTAAGGTACCAAACTGCTACTTTGGAGTTTAGATTTGAGATACTGCTTCCCTCTGAAAGCTGGGACACATATAGTTGAGTATTTTCAATTACTAGAGAATACTAGACATACTGAAGTTATTTCAGATTTGTGCTTCACAGAATATCCCAAAAGTTTTATTCACTGAAATTCTAAATAAACATCTCTTTCTTAAAGCAAATTAAATATTATTATATAAAAGTTTTTCTACTTGTTTTTACCAATGTATCAATGGTAAATTTCATATCCATTACATAATATAATTTATCATACCTCAACATAACAGGCCAAATCCCTCAATGTTTAAACTAAGAGGTTTTTTTGTTTGTTTGGCTGTTGGGTTTTGATTTAATTTTTTTTTTTAAGAATTTTGAAAAACAAACAAAACACCTTTTCTTTTTAAATTTCAAATTAGTGGCAAGTTGTCCCCTAGTCAAACTGGAAGGGCAGGTTTTAGCACAGGTAAAAGCTGCCAGCATATTAGTTACCTTATATCTTGGGCTGCAGAAAATCTAATGCCCTAAATAATGGTCTAATGTGAAAATTACAACCCAGCAGAACGTTTTCTAACATGGCGAGAGAGCTACTGGGTTATTCAGTGCTAACATTAACTTCCTACATACAATATTAATGGAGAGGATTTATGTACCTTTGAGTATTTCTCAATCTTGTATCCTGCTCCCAGGATAAAAGTTGTTGTCATGTCATATCCAGTTTGGTTTCCGTGGCCACTTGGCCACCAAGTCTCCACTGTAGCATTCTTAAGGAGAGATGAAATCAACAAAAAAATCAATTAGAAGTTAAAGTCAAAACAACATGCGTGTGTCTTACGATAACCATGCATCCAATAGGAGATTTTCAATTTCATAACCCCAGAATATAAGGGAATAAAATGGGACCCAATGAGGGCCACTCCTCCCCATAGCACCAGAACTGTATAGGGAGCTGTATTCGGTGCACCCCATCATAGGGACATCTAGGAAGTTCTTCCCCTTCCTCTCTCCTTCCCCCTGCTCCACTAATACACAGCACTGGGAAGGAAAGTGCACCGGGGCCAAGCAGAGACTCCTGCTCCTCAGAACAGAAGCAGCCAGACCACTGATTTCTGGAGATTCAAATAATTGTGTATAGTCTGTACAGTACGGAACCTTCTCTGCTCTTTGCTAACTGGCTGTTTGTTTCAACCCTCACCCCTTCTCTCCCTCAATCTCCTGCTCATACACCTTCTTCTCCCTTGCCCTGTTCCTCTCATCCCCCTTCCCTTAACTTTTCTTTCCACTTAGTGCTCCTAACTAAACCCACCAACTATGAAGTTAACATGATGTTTGCTGCCATTACATTGTTCAATCTGCTTGTGTGTTTTCTTCCTCATCCCTCACCCTGTATCTCTCTGGTCTATTTCAATTGTAAGCTCTTCAGTGCAGGGACTGTTTCCTACTCTGTATTTGTACAGCACCTAATATAAAGGGGCCACCCTCAGATACTATTGTAATAAACATTATTAATAAATAAATGACAATGTAATAATAAATAACAACTACACTACCCATTGAACAGCAATGGGAGTTAGATGACTAGATGCTATTTGTACTTTTGAAATCCTTCCTTCTCATCTATCATTTTCCCTGCAGCCCCCTCTTCACACGTCATGCTGGTCATATGGTGGTTGTGCTCACTCGTTCAGTTAAACTGAGCTTTTAAATAAAGGAGAAGGACCCATCCCATTCTCAGGCTTCAGTCCTTTGGTTTTTTCCTCTCTGTATAATTGAGTATTATTCATTTTTATTGATTTAGTTACCGCAAACAAAAAAATTACTTTCCTCTCGTGATTTAAAGGATCTTATTTTCTCAATCAGATAAAGTAAAGTTAACAGCAACTTATTTCATACAGTTATATCTTCATGCCAACAGCATACTATGCTGCCCAGTTCTATAACTTATTATGAAGAGCATTAATACATGAAAAGGAGGGCTCAACAAAGGAATGTGTCAATGCAAGATGCACCTGGATATTTTTGCATAAAGCCAGCAATATGATTTGCTGTAGCTATATCCAGGCATAATCAGCTATTGCTACTAGCATTTCAGCTTCCCATGCTCTGGAATTATCTTAACCAATAGTGTCTGGATACTAACCTGGAAATTCCAGGAATAAAACTGAAGCATAAAAATCAGATTATGTTCCATCTAATATGGAGTAGTCCTAGAAAGCTAGATACACATGCAACTTTCTTATTGGTTGTTAATGATGTCATACCCATATACATCTATTAGCAGATAAGCAATTTCAAAATAGCAATAAAACACTGTGCAGTGAATTTCAGGGTGATTATTGTACATTCAGGTTATTACAGTCTCGGACTGAGACCATCATTTGAAGTGAGCACTCATTGACTAGAAATTCATTTTTTGCCAGGCCTTGTTGTTTATCAGACTATGCAAATCTGTTGCACAGCTTGTGGGCTTAGTCTGGCTCACAGATACATAACAGAGCAATGTTGCATGTCTTATAAAATCAGCTGTTGTGAATTCATGCAGTAAAACTCTTTATATACAGGCAGTCCCCGGGTTACGTACAAGATAGGGACTGTAGGTTTGTTCTTAAGTTGAATCTGTATGGAAGTCAGAACTGGCGTCCAGATTCAGCCGCTGTTGAAACTGACCGCCAGTTCTGACTTACATACAGATTCAACTTAAGAACCCCAAGCGTCCCCAAGTCAGCTGCTGCTGAAACTGATCAGCGGCTGATTCCAGGAAGCCCGGGGCAGAGCAACTCTGTCTCGGGCTTCCTGTAGTCCTGTGTGCTCCTGGCAGGGCAGAGGAAATGTCATGCACTACCCCCCACCCCGAGGCCCTAACTAACCAGCCTGTGGGCAAGGAGCAGCAGGGCCTCTGCAGGCCAGATCAATCTGCTTTGTGAGCCTAATCTGGCCTACGGAGGCTCTTTTGTCCACCCCGGTGTAAAGCCTATTTTTTTCATTAGGCTTTTACCCAGCTTTAAGGTTATGGGGTTATATTTTAATAACAGACCTTCTAGTGCTGACAAAAGCTACTCCAGGTGCCCCTGGTCTGCTGGGGACCGTCTCCAGCAGACCAGGGACACCCGGAGCAAAGCCGGGGAGGCGGAGGGGTCCCGTACCTCTGAGGCTTTGCTCTGGCAAAGCCGGGGAGGCGCGGGACCCCGCCACCGCTGCGGCTTTGCTCCCGGTGTCCCTGGTCTGCTGGAGACGGTCCCCAGCAGACCAGGGGCACCGGGAGCAGCTTTTCTCGCCCCGGAGGTCGAGGTGGCGGGACCACTGCCTGCGAGCTCTGGGGCGAGAAAGCTCCATTCGTAAGTGCGGATCCGACATAAGTCGGATCCGCGTAAGTCGGGGACTGCCTGTACAAAGAACAACAACACACTGTTGCCTCTGTTCTGAGAGAACCATTTCCTCACAAATTAATTTCAGGCCCATGGCTGTTTTGTGTTAACCAATTTCTTCCCTGGGGCAGGGAGGAGGAATGCACCAACATGCTCAATTTCATGTCACACTGTATTATTGCAAACTAAAAAGGCTCACTAAAATCTAACATTTGTCTTTTAAAAACCCCTCTAGTCTAGGTATTTGTACTTTTTCTTGTAGCCTTCTGCTGGGGTCAACGGTAGTCCCTTGTGAAATAATTAAAACATGTGGATCATCTTTGGCCCCACACACCACTCCTCCATTCTCCTTCATAGGGGTTTCCTCTCCATGCACATAGTACATAAGAGTCCTTTGACATACAAACCAATATCCTTTAATGGGAGGGGGTTACAAATTTTAATTACACAGCAAAATTAAATTAAAGCCGAAAAATCTGAAGGGTATGTCAAGCCCCCATAGTCTCAGAGGTTAACAACTGGGTTTGTCAGCAGCCCAGGATTTGTATTATCTGAAGAGTCCATACTCAAAAATCCAGTTGGACTCCAGTGGTCAAATGGGAGGAGGCTCCCCCAGTTTGTTTGCCCCATTCCAAAGAAGTCTGCGTCACCAGGACCTGCTTTAGTCAGCTATTGGCAGAGCCAGGTTCAACTCTGCTGCTGGCAATTTCAATTCTGTAAAGTCAGCTCCATTAGGTCCAGATCCTAAGGCAGGAAAAGAACCATGATTCTATTTTGCTCATCCTCAGGCCCGCCGATGGAGGAGAGGGGGCAAGGGGGAAAACTGCCCTGAGGCTCAGCAATTCTAAAGGGACCAAGGCTTCCAGCTTCAGCTACTGCAGCAGCAGCAGCATTTAGAGCTCCAGGCACCTTAAATCTCTACCTGAGCATCACATGGTATACTATGGACAGCTCTAAGGGCTGGAGGGGAAAGACTGGCTGCTCCACCCCTTCTGCCCAATGCCCCTTCCTGGAGCGTGGAGCCCCCACACACACTTTGCCCAGGAGCCTGGTGTGGTACTTCTGAGCACTGACTGACCCTTTTCTCCAGTCTCTCTAATTTCGTAACTACACTTACAGAACAAATGTAATAGAATTCCTAAAAACAGAAGCACAAGACACTACAGAACTAAATGGAAGTGAAATTAGAACGCCAGCGGCTAGCTTTTTCACCCACTGTTAGGTAAGGTGGAGAAAGGGCAGAGAGAGAAAGAGAAAGACAGCTTCTGGTTCCTTTTATGCCTTCTAACTCTTCTATGCCCGGGACGGACAGGACAGCCAGCACCCAACCTGCCCCTGTGAAAGGCAGGATAAGGGATGCCCCCAAGGTAAAGTGGTGGATTCTGGCGTGGCCTAGGGAGTTCACCGGGGGAGGGCAGGGTGCTGGACTCAAGACCCGCCTCCCCTGGAATGGACAGGACAGCCCAGCCAACACCCAGGCCTCCCCGGTGGGTGCATTTGCAGCTGTGTTTCTCCTCTTCCAAGGACTGCTTCATTTCTCTGACACTTATCTTTAAGAAGCCCTCCTCTGAAGGGACTAAATTAATAACTAGTAAAGGAGAAGCAACTTCATTAACTTTGCACCTGCCTTTCTGCTAGGCAAATTCTTTACTTGTTTGCCCTTAGTTACCCAGGGGTATCAGTACTGATTATATGAGGATTGCTTTTCCCCTCCCACCACCAGTATCTAAGGGCCAAAGATACTATTGACAGCACATATATATGCCCAGAACACAATGGTTTGGGATATGAAATACTGCCATCATATAGAAACTCAGGAGCTGTCCTACGGGATCCATGTAGTTCAGTAACCTGTCTGACAATGGCCCGTACCAGATGTTTCTGAGGAAGGTGAAAAAACCCACAGTAGGTAGATATGATAAACTGCACAATCTGTACCAATATAAAAAAAATGGATTGGAGGATTAACAGCAGCATGATTTTGTGGCCAATAGAAGCTAGAGATTATGCGACTTCTCTCACTTATTAGGAATGAAATGCCACATATCCCATCCACGCTGCTCAGTGTCCCAGTGGAGGTATCAGTTGTGAGAAGGTAGGAGAGCTGTTTCCCTACCGTGAAAGGCATTAGGCTGAATACAGCAGAGATGAGGAAGCAAATGGGAAAATTAAAACTGTGCTGGAGACATCTTGCATTTTCTTTTAAGCAACCAGAAGGAAACATTTTGTTACTTGAAACTGTTCAGGATTCACCCCCTCACCTTACTGATGTTTACAAGCAGCACAATTCTGCCTTCTCCAGGACGAAGTTCTGTGGTATATGTCTGCTGTGTTTGCAGCTTAGGAATGTTCACTGTCACGAGACCAGCAAATGGCTTCGAGCTGACTACATCAAAAACAGACTCTATTTCAAGACTCCATTGCTGAGCACTCTTCACTAAGCAAAAGAGGAAAAAAAAGGGCATTTATTTGTATGTCTAGACATACTAGTTCACATGCCCCTCATCTTGTTAAACACACAATTACACACCACAGGAAACGCAACAATTTACTTGTAAGTTTGCTCTTGAACAGAACCCACACTTCACTGTCTAGTACATTTGACAAATATGTTTACATTTGCTGATTCAGGAGAGGACTATGCACCATGTAATGGACATTTGTAACTCATTTTCCCCCATTCCTAAACCATAAACAACCTTTGAAACAACCTCTGTATCACAGACAGAATGAACCTCTCATTCTTTATCACTAAGAAGGGACTTTTCCCAACCCAGCTTCCACAGTCATTAGGTTTTCTTTTAGTCAGTATTTATTTGAGCCCAGGTCTCTTCGGGAAAGGTCCCAATCACAAGGCAACACAATCACTTTTGTCTCTTGAACAAAAACAGTACTAATTTAATAGTAAATGAGCCAAACCCATTAAAGTTCCCAACTTTCTAATTTTTGAAAACTGGACACAACAGCACGAGTGTCAGAAGCTTCCACTGACCTGCCACCCGACCTGCAGCAACCAGATTTTCGGTGTCTGGTACATATCACAGGAAGCTGTAAAAGCCCCCCTTCAACTGGATTACTGGTAGAAAAGCAAATATCTGGCAACCCTACCTCCATGTCACTAGACAAGATGAACTGAATTATGCTGCAGATGAATGGGACCCACTTGATGGGTCCATATGCTTGTTTCTCTTTTGTCACTGGAGCATGCTGTATGAAACATGCCAAAGAGTTATTCTGCTTAACAAGGAATTAACAAGGTAATCTAGTGAAAGGGGTATTTCCAACAAATGTTTTCTGAAACTTCCTGTTAATGTGTTAACTTTGGGTAATTACCCTCTCTATAACCAAAGCCTGCCTAAGCCTTTACTTTGCATACAAATGCTAAATATGCTTCCTGGGCGTGAGGTTTTCAAGTTTAACCCATAAACCTTTATGTAGGTCTTTGGGATCCTCTGACAGTGATGTCTTTGTGTGAGGAGTTGGTTAGTTATTCCTCCACCTCCTCATAGGAAGGGAGGGGTTCATCCTCTTAGAGTGGATGTAAGGCAAATGGAGAAACCTAGTCATGTTCCTGGAGTAGTCTCAACTGTGGCTTTGTATTCCTTACCCTTCTTGTAATAAAGGCATTAGCAAAGCACAGCAGAATACTGTACATGCACAAAGGCAAACCAAACCAGGGGAGACATAGTATTTTATTATCACAAGAAACTGCACTGGTCTAACTCATTTTCTAGGTTGTGCTGCTTATTCCACCTGCTCAATAATATAACAACAGAAGAACCACTGAAAAAACAGGACTATAAAACCCCTTTCGTTTATCTCCATTGTTAACTGCCAATTGCCACTGTGTGTTTAAGCTATCTGCTTCTTTCTGCTAGATAGGTAGTAATATCTCCATTTGGATTTGGGATAAAACAGAAAGCATTCCTCTCAAAACAAAATTCATTCCTGGTGTAACTTTGCTGGCTCAGTAGAATTCATTGGGATGAATCTGACATCACACCTTCACAGAGAGCATGATTTTCAGACTTGCTAGGAACCCAAATTTCATACTGAAATCAACTTTCTCCCAGATGTACTTTTTTCTCTTTCTTCTCCTGGCATGAGGAAACCAAGTCCATTCCTGAACTCCAGGCATTAAACGGCAAAAAATGGGAATAATGGCTCCTTTAGAGATCTAGTGGTTAGGAGGCTATGACAACAATCTGGCAAGCATCACAAGTGACTGTGCTGCTACAACACAGCGCAAGCTGCTGATGCATTGTTTATTTGTCCAAATTTAAACCTCTTAATTGTAATGAACATGGTCTCCAGGTTGAACTCCAAAAGCTCTGTCTGCTGAATGAGAGGGTCCTGTCGCCTTATCCAACAAACCATCTCCTGGCTGCCAGCAGGTGGAGTTGTGAGGATGTGGAAGGAACCAGGCAACATTTGCACATCTGAACTTCACAGAAGCAGTACTGAGTCTATGCTGAGGCTTTTCATTGAAATTCCGGCTATGTTAATTCTGGCTGTGCACTGGAGCTATTTTTGGAAGCTGTAAAAGCATGCAGGGAGTGACGTCTTCCCCTTTCATTTAGGCACAACAGCTTCTTCGTGTAGCGTAAAATTCAGCTCAGTGAAAAGGGCACACACACCACCTACCCACCCTGTGTTAGGTGGATCTTGCGTGAAGCAGAGGGTAGTGTGGGTGGTCTTTACTGGCATGCATTACATTTGCAGACGGTTGAAACAGAAAATAATTTTGTTCAGTTTCCACGATCTTCACTACAATGAAAGACAAAGAAATGGCAGAGGCAGGCAAGGAAACCGATTAGGTGGCAAACATGTAATGGGAAGTCCTCTCAAACTGCATCTTGAGAAAAACAATCCTTCATATCCTGGCTGCTTTTCAGTTCTAGTGT